GATAATGTCGCAAGGAGGAGCGTTATATAATGTTGACTTATTCCCGCATATCGTATTTAATATCTCCGTACTTGCGCTTTCCGCCTCGCATTCAGGATCCTAAATTATCTCACAATATAATGAAATTAAATATTGGATTCTACCGTCGCTTTTACTGCGACGGTATGAAGAAACTGCGCGATATGAAAATATCTGATTTTTTAATTGACAAATAACGAAAAAACTGATAACTACACAAATACGCTTTCGCAATTTAATTACAAATTTAATTAGTGCAGATCTTTAAACTGCTATGTCATAAATGTAATTACTTCTCTATTTGTAAAACTCAATATACTTTCGCTTGTCTGTAAAACAAAATATCTAAAATTAAAATTTCTACAAGAGTAATTTTAAAATTGTAATAAATGTAAATTTAATATAATTTGGTATTATATATGCATATAATATATGTATATATATAAAATATATTTCATCATTTAATTAAATCATAAAATATTCAATGGTTCTCTTAATTATATAATAACTCTATTTGAATGAATTTCATTATATAGTGTAGAATAATATTCCAGTAAATATATTTTTGGAATACAATTATTAGTCATATATTTACCATATTTTTGGAATACAAAATTCTATAATTAAAGTAATAGAATAAAATATAATATGTACAAACACACGCATTTGACAGATTTTTTAAATCTGGTAAAAGAAAAACGGCATAATGACAATTACAGTTTACAAAAATCATCGAAGTGGACACGATCCGGTGAATCTTAATCGCGCGATCTCTCTCGTTGTGTGACGGACTTAAGAGTACATTCACCCGTCGCGGATTCTCCTCCGTCCTCCAGCGGCCAAACAACAACCGCGTGCACGCGAATTCCATGAGTTTTATTTAGAACATCGAATTATTCTAACGTGACGAGTGTGCTTGGGCTCGTGCATTCGCGCGTACGGGAAAAAAAATAGAATGGTAGAAAGCGCAAGGTAGACACGTCGTAAACCCGATTTGGCGGCAGGGCTGACGGAATTCAGAATAAATGATGCGTTCGCTTTTTTGACTCGTAACCCAAACTCGAGACACGAGTAATAAAAAATTATCTCGTCTCGCGAATCTACTTCGGAGATTGAACTTTTCTTCTCCGCGCGTGTCTGCTAATTGTACGGCGGAGATAATGACACGCGTAATTGCTTTATCGAACGAATCAGAGCGGACGAGAGAATGGGAATTTTAATTAAAATTTTGCACACCAAGTAAAAATACATACTTTCGGCCGAGCCAAGCAAGGCGAATTAAAATTACAAAAATTACGGGAGGAGTGGGTGCGCGCGGTGTTCTTTGAACTATTACAAAGTAACGAGGCGGGACGCGCGCGCTATCTTTTTTCGTTGGTAGGAAAGTAAAATCGTTGTTGCATCTGATAAAGGCCAGGCGGGCGCGCGCACGCGCCGCCGTGCGCGACCGCGAGTGTGTTGGTGTTGAACACAGGTAAACAAGTTCGCTGCATTCCACGCGGACCGGCTGTACCTGCTGCACGTAATCACGCTCGAATAATTAATTAGCTTATTCTGCATTACTTAGACAGAGTTAAAAATGTATCGCCGACTAAACTGGTCGCAAAGAAGTTTCTCATTACAATAAAATGTTTTATGAAACAAACGCGGCAACAATTCGGCGAGCTAATAAAATCTTATGTTCGTCTGGAAATTTAATTAAATCTTTGTATTCTTGCAGAATTTAATCAAGTTTTCTTGTAAAATATTTTAGATTTTAAAGTCAATTGACTAAGTCCCGACAGTCTCGCTGTGAAATATATAATTTTGATATAAAGTTAATACACTGAGATAAATCCGTAATATAAATGCAGCAAACGTAAGATAATTAATATAACGTTCTTTTTCATCAAATTTAATATCAAAAGATTGGATTATGACAATTAAATCCACATTTACGAACTAGGTTAATCTTTTGAATATTCCATGATTGGAGTTTATAGAGATTCGGATTAGTAACTTATAGATAAATGTTAACCGTGATTGGAATTTCTCATGACCTCATGCAAACTAATAGTGGTTATCCGAAAATCAAGTTTCGCGAAACGGATTCTCGCTGAGTTTGTGCCAACTTTCAGCTGGCAGCTTTGCGGGATAAAAATAGAGAACGCAATGTAATCAACTTCAAATTGTGGAGTAAACAATTTCGATAAAATTTTAATTAGAATCGAGTTGATGGAATAATATTATGGAATAATATAAAAGTATTACTACACAACGGATGTCGATTGCGATAATACGTCAGTATAATTATTGGCTAATGCAACAAGGTTCCGTTCCAATAATCAACTGTATCGTGCGAACATCGCACCTGCGCTAACACATTTCTGCGCGAGATTATAGTATATAATGTTTATTAGTGTACGTTTAATAGTGTGCGTTTATTAGTTGCCAAATTTATTCAAATTAATTCAGTATTAACAACGGTTAAAATGAGAGATTATAATGCAATCAATATTAAAGAAATTATTAACACAAAATATCTTTTTTTCATAAAATACTATGTCGATGGAAATAAAAATTTTCAGAAAATACATTTTATCAGTTATTCGTGCAAAAAATACATTGCTGAGAGAGAATTACAAAAATAGTATTTTATTTTATATAAATTTAATTGCACGACAACGACAATATTCAATTAAGACAATCAATTTATCTTATCTAAAATATAAGGCTTTATATGTGTCATTCTGTCAATTCTGAAAATTATTGCAGTTGTTGAGATTTGTACAAACTGTCTTCAACTGTTACAAGTACACCGGATAATCTTATGAAAACTCTTTGCCCCGTTGCAAAGTAACCGAAAACCGGATTGCCAGCAGCTGTTGGACAAATATTTTGCCTCGATAGTCAAGATGAAGCGTAGTCCCCATCCCAGCCGCGCTCATCAATCACGTCAATTACATACGACATGGTCGATTCGCGATAACATGCGATTGCGCGCGCGCGCGCTTGAGAGAGAATGAGAGTCCGTGAGAAAGAGGGAGAAAGAAAGAGAAAGTGCATACAATAGAATTAAAAAAAGAATCGGTAAAATAATTTGCAGCGACATCGCATTGGCGACAGGACAACAGGGGAGAGAAAATGGTGACACCGACTTGAGATAATGATTTCTATCGCGTTGTTCGACATAATTGTCAGCAAGAAAATGTTCAGTTTCTTCTGGAGCAATTACGAGGAACAAAAGGGTCAAAAGTGGCGACTGCAATTTTACGAGTTTTCCTTTCGAGTCTTCCTCTCTCTCTCTCTCTCTCTCTCTTTCTTTTTTCACTTGATTGTGGATAATATTCCACTCTGTTATTCCGAGTGTTCTTTAGCAAAGCAGTTATTACGAACAATTTCTAAACTCGCATGCGAACTCAAAGACAACGACGATAAAGAGATATTCGCTATCGACATTCATAATATCACTCTTATCAAAGAACAGTTTGCGCACCCTCTTTTTGCTCGATTCTTTTGTCAGCATTTTTTCTCTCATGAGCCACGAACAAGAAAAATAATATTTCCCTTCCCTTGGTAAATCGACCTATCTCTCGTTGTGAGCCAAACGCGTATCGATCGTCGCCGAGGAAACAGTGAGATTTTGTTTTATGACTTTAAATAAAAAGTAAAGCGCGAGAGATTGAAATTTGATAGACAGCTTTGTCGAGGAAATTTATTTCCTACTAATTTACAGTTAATAAACAAAAGTGGATAGATTCAAAGACGGCAATTCCGAAAGCGGATACAGCATCGGCTTTGGCTGTCCCTTCCGAAATAATCGGTCTGCAAACAGTGAAAATGACGAGCGGAGGGGTGTGCTTAATTGACGATGTCTCAATGGAACAACAGAACAGAGAGGGAGCGTGACGACCCCAAAAGCCACCCTAACGTCAGGCGAGGGGTTAGTCGAACGGTTGTGTATCCTTTCAACCTTCGAAGTGGCTTTAAGGCCACGCCAATATTTCACAAGTTTCATTTGCCTGGCCTTTCCTTCTACTTATCCGCCCACGGGCATTCAACGTATTTCCGCATATTTGAATAATACCTCTTTCGTGATTCGCGTAATCATTTTGATTTGATCGTGCACACGAAAATAGTTACGTTGATGCGTGATATTGCGATTACATGATAATTTCGATTGCATTCAGATACAACCGGTCGAATTAACGATACATGCAATGTAATGTACAATCGAATGCATTAATGGTGTCTAAAGCGCCCGCATTCAGAAGAATATTTGACCTGTCCTTTCATCACATTATTCAAAGCAATTAAACTACACATAATTAATTATATTAATAAAAAGGTTTTCAAATTATTTATATTTTTTCAATTTAAGTTATATACTTTTTAGAAGTGCTTCTTAAATTTCACAAAGAAATTTAACTATAAAAATATAGCACACTGGACACACCTTCCTGTATTCAATTGTGCATTGTAAATATATTCAGTGTGAATAGAAAAATATTTGAACTTATAGCTCGGTCATACGTTCACTAAAAGAAAAAAAGTGACATATTCCGGCGTTTTATGACATTTCAATGGATCGTATGTATCGAAACGGCAGTGAGCTAAAATAACACGGGGTACGGGAAAATGATAAGGACAAAGTATCGCACGATGCATCCGTTATCAACGATAGTCGGCAAAACAGGAATTACCGTAGCTACAAAGTTTACGAGTGTCACAGCAGTAAAACATTGATCAAACAGATCTAATTGTTTATTCCATTTTTTAAATGTGATTAAAAAACAAAGATTATGTATCACAAGGCTATAAAAAGCTTAGGAAAAAAAATTTGTAACACATCGTGTTTGTTAAAAATGTGAATTTAAAACACATTTTGAAGATAAGTTCTTCAAATGAAAATTAATACGCAATCGCCTGTTCACAACCTTATATATATATATATCAAAATTAGACGGCTGCATATATTTTTGGATATTTTTAAAAAAACTTACCTCTCCATGCGTGTCCCTCCTGCCGTCCGGCGTGTTCTCAGGTAAGAAATAAAGCCGCAAGGACGCCAGAGGCTGATTCGGTCCGCGACTGTCCATCCAGAGCAGTTGGAGCTCGCCGATGCTGACGAGGTCGGCATCGCTCCACAGTTTCGTCAGGAAGAAACTGCCGAGACGAAGGACACGTCCGTTACCTATCCTTACCGCTTTATAAAATGTGTAAGGGCCGTGGCTGAAGCAAGCACCGCCCAGTAACTGAAAGCACGGAAAATAATTCATGAAAATCTATATCTGCGTTATTTCCTCGAAAACATGTCACGAACTTAATATTATTACATCCGGAAAAGAATATTTCATGTAGATAATATGTTTTCTCTTTACATAATTTCCTATAATATTGCTTTTAATAATACGCCTGCGGTATACGCCATTTAATAATTGTGTTATCGTATCATTATCAATATTATAATTAACGTGTATTAACATTGAACGAGAAATGCGTTTGAATATTAGAACGTATTACGATGCAATATTAATCAGGCAATAAACAGATGCATATTTATATATCAAAACGCGACCGACATTAACGTAGCAAACAGCATAATAGTAAAATATTCGCGCAGTTTAACCGAGGAATATTCGGTTAAAAGACATATTTTTTTTTTTTTTCGATCCGGCAAAAGCTCGTTCAAGTCGGCTTTTAAAATACCATTCCCCGCGAATACGAGTACCGCGAGAGATTCGTGCGGCTACGGGGGATGAGCCCGCAGAGAAGCGAGGGTACGTCTCTCTAGAGGGTATTTGCAGCATACCGCAGAGCACAACACGCACATACGTAACGCGAGATAAATCCGAGACGCGCGTTCGCAGAATAGAGAGGAATCTTCGCGCTAAGAGTGGCGTGAGCTTCCGACTCAAATGCGATTAAAATCGATACGGCATGACCGATGCGTGATCGTAAATAATAAAACGGCAAACGTGCGTGTGAAAAATTTATCAATTACCATCGTCGGAACAACGTTCGATAGGAATCCAAATCTCGTTCGGAAAAAGAATCCGACGATTAATTTGCATTTCGTTAAGAGAAAAAAGCAATCTAAAAAACAAACAAAAAAAAAACAAGAAGAAATCTCGACTGGTATACGTGACGTTGATTTCACGTCGGAGTTCTCCCTCTCTTTCTTTCTGCTGCCCTAGAAAAACTATTTATTATTCAATGAGAAAAATGTTTATTATCCGACTGCTGAAAAAAATTCCGCAAACGAAAGAGCAAACGAACCGTGCACGCGGCACGTACAGTCTGTCGCATAATTCTCGGCGGGATCTCTGACGCGTGTACTGACAAGCGGGGCAGCAGCGACTCACCATTGTGAATCTTTTACGTTGACCTGCCGCTTTTTCTTTCCGCTAAGATTCAACCGTCAACGCGTGTGATTAACGAAGCACGCGAGGGCAGCAACACGTTCGGTTCAGCGCGGCACTGAATACGCGAGGATTCTCGCACTGGGGAATACACGGACACTGCTGACGAATGTCGGTATGAGTGTATATGTCTTGTTGCGCGTACATATCAATCACCGGAAATCACTCTGTAATTGTCGACGCGAACTCTGGAGTTAGCTCGCTACGGTGTGCCGAAAGTTATTGCGAAACTTCAGAATATCCTAATAGAGGAATTAATCGGCTTCATCGTACCGTCACTAATTGCGTTGCGAGCACTTTTACGCGCGAGCTCGCGAAAAGATAAACGCGCGTTTTTTCACCTTCGTTCTTCCTTTTTTTTTTTCATCGAGTACAAATGCCAAATAACGCTTTGTATGGAATGGCAAATGCGCGGTATGGTACGAGAGCTTTCGCGGCTATGAAAAAGGATCGACATCGTAATTCAGAATACTCGATACACGAACAATCGAAGAGAGGAAAAACACAACGAGGTAGTCCGTTCGTGTTTGTAGCGCGGACTGTACGGGCGTCTGCTGCTTTGCAGCGGAAACTTGTCCATTACTCCCTTTGCTTTATTTATCCGGGCGAAATTTCAAATGGATCGGATTTGGACGTAAAAGAGACAGGTTCGCAAAGATCGATGCTCGCATATTCACGCGAAACGCCCAGCATTTTTAGTCAAGTCGACAAAATTCACTTGTGATTTATTGTTTTATATTGTAGCGTAACGCGAGAGCGCACGGTTCAGCAATGTATCGATTTCACGGCGGAAAGATGATTCTGAAAGACTCGTCTCGAATAACAAGGTCCTTTAATTGTCGACTAAGTGAATTCGATATTGGGTCATGTTAGTCACGCGCGCGCGTGGCAAACCGAACGAACACGCGGAGACAAGCGGGTGTGCTTCGATATGCAAAATTATCGCTAAGTCGCTCATTATTCGCGCAAATCGACGAGCGTGTGGCAACGAGCGTGTCCGTCGTCGCTATCAATCGTGCGTTACATAATTGAATCAATAATGTTACCGCGTGTCGAATTGCCGTGGAATGAGCACCGCTGCCATAACTATTTCCAATGTTTTAAGAGTACAGTCGCAGCTAAGAGTTCCCGCCGAACTGCGGCCGCGAACACGCGGGAGATCAGCCGGCGATGGTATTTATAGCAGTTAATCTCGTTTCTCTTCGCCACCGCGCCGCTGCACCGCACGCGAAACCTACCGCCATTGATATCGCGATTGCATCTACGACGCTCTTTTATCTACGCGGACAAGTGCATTGGCGCGAGATGCGTAAACGCACGCACACGCACGTGTACGCGATAAATGTAAATGCACGACTGAGTAACGAATTTTCGAATGCCGCTCTTTCGCCGTTATTATTTATCGAAATGTGTCGATTACACTGCCCTACCTCAGAGAATTGCTAAATATTTCACCACGCAGCCAATGCACAATAGCGTATATGCATTATTCAACAGACGACGTATACGCTCTTTCTTTCGTAAAAACATTTCCATCGCGTAAATAAATATCCATCGCCACAACAGCGGCGGCGGTGGCGGTGGCGGTGGCGGCGGTGACGGCGGCCGCACGTCGTGACGCTGCCGTTTCTCTCAATGTCGATTATTTTTCGATGCTAGAGAAGCGAGCGCGCAAAATACAACTGAGAGTGAACACGACACATGCGCGCGATACTCAAAGTGCCATGACATCGATGCGAATTGTTTAAAAATAAATGGGACGGCATAAAACAGCGGAACACCGAAACCGCAGTCTACGCAACGGCGCGTTAACGACAAACGCGGAACGTTGTCTAGTTTCTGTAATTGCCGTTCGGGGAATTGGTTCCCAGGTACGACAACGCTAATCGCGCGAATAAAACGGGAGCGGGCAATGTCTGTAAATCTTTGCATCCTCGGAGAGAATGGGGTAATTCAAAAGCGTATTGCGAGCGCAAAGTTGTCCGCGGAATTCTTTTCCACCGCCATATACGCGGGCGCGAAGATAATTGTTATCTTTCTTAATAATGCGTTATCCGCTCCTCCGTCGGGGATACCGTAACATTACGCGCTTGGAACTTCTGCAGCTTTATATAATGATCGTTGTCTGTTTTCCTCTCGCAACAGAAACGCTCGCTAAAATAGTGGGAGGGGAGGAGAAAGAGTGAGGGAGGAGAAGACGGCAAGAGTCGAAGAAAGAGAGAGAGAGAGAGAGAGAGAGAGAGAGAGAGAGAGAGAGAGAGAGAGAGAGAGAGAAAAGAGAGAGAGAGGAAAAATGCGTCACGTAACATTTTAAGGCCACTGAGTAGAATAATATTATATATACATATAGTGTGAGCTCTCTGTTTTTCCTTCAGGCAATGATGTTTATGTCTCTCTCATCGCTCCTGCATGAACGCAACAAAGATGCATATAGAACAGGAGTCAACAATGTGACGATATTGATCGAATCCAAATTGACTGAATTCAAGAAAGAAAAAGAAAATGCAACACATTTTAAACCGTCGAATAGAATAATATGAGTGTATATCTTCTGTTTTCTCTCGAATCAATATTTGTGTCTTTTTTTTACCTTTCTAAATATCTATATGTTGCATATATATATTTAAATGTGCCCGAAATACGAAAATAAGTACGGAGCAAAATTTAAAAGCGACACGTCTTATTATTTTAATTTAAAGAAATAATTAAATATAAATTGATTATATTTAAAAGAGAACATACATTATGTAAGAATTTAAAAATACGCAGTCAACAACAAAAAATATTGTTGTTAAGTTATTCCTTGAAATAACGACGAGCTGTATCTTTCTCGCATTTTTACAATGTACATATAGATATTGCTTTGAGGAAGATAAACATGCGCTGCACATATTAAAAATTAAAATACTGCATAAAATTAAAATATTGCGCGGAATTTCTTTTCTTTCGCGTAAAATGTATGCAAAAGAGAAATATTAATTGAATTTTGTTATAATTTCCGGTTAATCGATATATGTGTACGGGCGATAAATATTATAAATATTCAAAGGTTCGCTCACTGCTACGCCGATACGCTCGTTGACTAGAAGATATAAAAATACTGAATCTCACTGTACCATTTAGGCGGTATTGCAGGTATTCGTTAAACGTTACAAGAAAAAGGGGCGGGCAAGTGGAGAGCGTAAAAAGGTGATGAGTGCGATCGCGCGGCGCGAAATTAGTGAATGCAAACGACCGGAATAACGCGAGTAAATCACTGGCGATCGCTAATAGCTCTTATGTAACTTGTATCGCCGACAACATAACGAGCAATACATCAAAGGCGAATATATCGCGATTGTGTCGCGTTATCGAAGGAACGAACATAAACGTCGACTATCAAAATATTTGTCGGTTTTCATTGACGGAAAATCGATTGGCGGTAAACGCGACAAGACGAAGAGCACGTATGGAAATAAAAAACTAAATCGTACAACAAATAAATTTCAATCAGAGTGATATCAGTATATCTGATTGAAATTTATATATATATAATATATATATATGTATACAATACATATATATATATATATATATATATATATATATATATATATATATTCAAGATGCAGTGATTGTATACTTATACATATATATATATGTATAAGTATACAATCACTGCATCTCGAGAAGCTTTGTTTCGCGTCACGATGCGATCGAAAAATCATCAAACGTAAAATATTTAACATCCCACGTCGACTGACATTTGAGAACGTCGGCTGTGATTGCGAAACGACGTTTGCATTACATAATTAACCTTTCTCATCGTGTCGGTGCGCGAATCGGATAGCTTCGCTCATCTCAAGCGGAAAGATCTCGCACGTGTGTACGCGGTCAGCGAGGAAAAACGTGGTCGCGCACCCAAAGGATCGAAAAAAGGACGGGATATAGGGCAATGCTCCCCATCCCCGCTCATTCCCCCGTCATTGTATACTCTCGCCGCGTGTAATCGCATATATACGAAGCTGTCCGAGCCCTTCGTTGCGCCGTCCTTTTCGATCTCTCTTTTCCATTTTCCCTCCTTGTTACTGTGTCTATATTCTTGCCCATCTGTCTCTCTTTCCGATGATATTCCTCCAGAACTCGTCGCTTTGTCTCCCTCGCGCTCTCGCATCGCCCGCTTGCTGCGTCTCCCTCTTTTTTTTCTCTCTCTCTATCTCTCTCTCTCTCTCTTTCTCTTTCTCTCGTAGCGAATGAGTTTTACTAACCGCTTTAAAGCGTCCATCACATCGCATGAATCACCGCGGCCGGACGATTAAGGAACATGGGAGTGATGACATCACTGATAATACTGAGGTACAGGAATTCAACAAATAGAAAGTTAGATTAGTATTCGACGAATAATGCTGTATTGTTCGTTTGTCGCGATAAGCGTGTGTCGCGCGTGCGCGATAGAGAGTTAATCTTTTTAACAACTATTTTATCAATTCCTAATTTTTGCTAAAGATAAATGATAAGATATGTCGCAATAGTAATAAAAAAGCAGAAATCATTAATTACACATTGCTGAAACACATAATTATTTTTTAGTACTGAAATCAAATACGTACTAATGTGAGCAATATTTTATTTTTGAAATAAAATATTTTATTCATGTTTTCGTTTCAGTGTAATTAATTCGTATTTCACAAATTAGCATAACGAACACGATCGAAAGATATGGCTAGAGACTAGAACGTGCGACTGGCGCGTTCCATTTTCGTTTAATTTTCAAAAATGAAGTAAACGTATATATTTCCTATCTCGCTGTCGGTTTTTAATTAAAAACTTTCAAATGCACCGGCCGGTGTATCGTGTGAGCGGACCTTTAATCCACACACAAGTCGACGCGGAGGGTCCCCGTATGTGTTCCCCTCGCGCGCGTGTGTCAGTGACTGTAAAAGCGCACGCACACAATCGGTCGACACAATATACGTGGAATTTGACTCAGGTACGTCACATATACTAATGTGCGTGAATCAACGGATAGGCACACTTGACTCGTCAACGCACATCACAAAGCGCTCGCGCGAGGCATTTAAAGATTTCATTTAAATCGCATCACGCCGCGAGAAAGAAATATCCGAGACATATTATACACGCGAGTTTGTTTAGCTCGCCCACTCCCGATTTTTGCTGATCTGTATTCGTTACCGATCCATATCTCATCCCTTGTGCGTGCTATGAATCAATTACGGCACGGGCCGGACGATATTCCACTAAGAAACGTTACATTAGATATTCCGAGCAAGTAAAGCACATACACATACACACATACACACACGGGAAAGATAGGGAGCGAATGCACTGCAATACGATATTAATAACAAACGTAATATACGTTTGTAGAGAGCTTGCGCAAATGGTACGCGTTTTGCAGAGATTTAAACGAAATTTATGCTATATTTAAGTTCAGTTAAATTGAATCCCGTAAGTTTGTAAATTGTGGATTATTGTGCGCGCAAAATTGCATAACAGTTCAAAAGATTTCAATGCAGAATTAATAACGAAAGCGTTGCACTCTTTTGTGACTATATCCGCAATGTACTTCAATTGTTGTGGAAACCTGGTATATCCAGGAATCGATTGAATCCGGCAAATATATTTCACCGATGTGTATGTGCGTTATCTGAAACCGTCTGGTTCTTGTATCAATCGATAAGCCGAATTATTCATCAAACGTTGCATGATAAATAAGTCGTTTATCGATAACAAAATTAACTCTTGCACTTCCGTCTCTTTTCAAATGGAAAATAAATGAAAAAAAATATCAAAAGAAAACAGCAACATCGAAATCGAATTTAAATAAAGCTATTAAGCGAGTACTTCAATATCAAGACTGTTATAATGAGCGCAACTGAAAGCTAATTCGTTGAAAGCTGCCAGAGACATGTAACATCGTGCGCATCGAGATTCGGCTTATATAGGGTGATTCAGCCTTGCCCGAACTTCCTTTCATCTATGAATTCTTTAATTCAGTCAATCTTTATTTATTTAGCAAACATTTAATTAAATGCTGCATTCCTTCACAATTTTGTAACATCTGTTTTTAAGTATCTTTCTAATCGATACTTAAAATGTTATTGAGTTAAAACCCATCTGCATTAATATAATGAATATTTCGTAAAGATATGTGAAGATTTTGGAAACCAGTTTCTCATTTTTAATTCAAAATTTATTAGTATTTCGTAACGATAACGTCCTTAACGCAAATTTTAATTTAATTTATATTTTATTTCATGTTTTAATTAACTAATTTCGTTATTGGTTAATTAAATATTTGAAAATAATAAATTCACTAATGTTTTAATTAACTAATTTCATTATTGGTTAATTAAATATTTGAAAATAATAAATGTTATTACAGTAATTAAATATTTGAAATATTAATAAAGAAAATGACTGAATTTTTCAAATAAATTGCAAACTTTTAATTCCATCCTCTTTTAAACGAGTTAAATATTTACTGAAAACTGTTCAAAGGATTCGTGCATAAAAATGAAGAACGCGTGGAACACAGTGTATACCGTATCTTTCAAAAACACGCGTTACGCTCGCACCGTTCGTTTTCTTGCCGACCGTATCGTCGTATCCCTCTTCCTGCCTCCTTTCCTTCCGTTCCTTCTCGTTTCCCCGCTAAAGCCCCTTGGCATCGTTCTCATCGAGTTATTATTACACGGCATAGGGTCACTATCGTCGTTACTCCCGCGGATGGTTCTCATTCGCGGGAAAGGCGTCGATCGGCAATAAAAGAATATATGCTGGACTTGGGCAAATACAAATGAGTCCACGCGAAAAGGAGATCCCCATCTTGCAGATCAGAAGTCACCTTGACGATGGCATCCAAAATGAAACCGGTTCTCGGAGTATACGAAATTGGGTCCTTGTTTTGGATAAAGAAGGAGCTTGTCTTAATCAATGTTTATTTTTACATTTGTGTGGGGAAGAATGCGATGTCATTACGTGACATTATCAGTAGATTACGGCTCGCTCATTATCTACATTAGAGGACGATAAATGTATGATACACAGGCTAAATAAGTCTTCCCGACCAACTAGCTTAATATAATTGCGCGGAGAGAAAATATTTTGCCCGGCGATATTATCTCTTTTACCTAAAAATATTATTCGTCGAAAAACATTTCAATTCGTTAGTCGTTAATTTATTTTGTTCTAAATACGATGTGCTCTTTTCTCGTATGCAATCCGAAAATAAAGTAGAAAAATGTTGTTTCGTTTCCAATTTGCATGCTCTTTACGTTGTCATGCTTGTAAAATAGTTATAAAGGCGGACAAAACCGTTTCATTTACGTAACACTCGCTTTAACGATGTTACACATGATAGCGCTCGCAGCGAATCTGGATAAACTGAACAATTAATGTAAACTAAACAAAAAATTTTTTTATAAAGAAAATGCATTTATATATATATATATATATATAT